CAATAACTAGGAAATGTCTAAAATGATAGATTGTGGAAATCAAGATGATTCCATAACTAGAAATAGCAAAACAGAATAAAATGACCACAAGGAGGTGGAAAAGCGTTGAGAGTGGTTGTGAACAAATAAATGGTTAATAAGAATATGCAATAATAGAACATTTTGTCAGTAGAAATATCCAGTCAACGGCACTTTAGTCAGAAAAGCTCCTTGAGTTTTTGATTTGAACGAAGCAGATACATAATTTGCTCACCACTACCACTCTTCCAGATCTTTCTTTGTTCCCCCAGATGTTGTCCTCTATAAATATACTCAATAATATTCGAGAGGTAGACACTGTCTATCAATTCATATATGAAATCTATAATTAAGATGATGGAAAAGTGGAATGGATGAAGGTATCAAACTCACCTGTGAAATGAACGGAAATTATTTCTATTACTCCACTCCGCGCTACAAACAAAACATGTCAAAACCATTTTCACCAAAAAAACTTGCACCACACTCTTCGGTAAGGAATAAGTCACGTTTATTCCTAATTGAATTATCACAATACAATCAATACACACCAGGAATAGTAATTGAAAATTATGAAATATAGAAACTAGAAACGAAAATACCAAGACGCCATTTCTCAAATCTCAATGACGATTGACGTTGACGACAGTGTTGCCAGATGAAAATTTGCCGGAGCAGTAGATGAGTGAGAAAAAAATCAGTAGATCATCAAAACTAGGGTCCCTTGATGGAAATTGACATTAAAGTCATCTTAACAGGGTACGGACAGATCCTCGTCTCCTCTCACTCTAAAGTGTTTGTGAAACAGATGTATAGTTCCATCCTTATTCAATTCTGGGGATAAACACTAGATTTTCGACATTCGTTGTTTTTTAGGTTATATTGAAGTCACTGGCGTATCATACGTAATTTCCATATGGAATTCCTGATTCAACTATACCAAGATATACGTGAACAATCCTCTAGTTCTAGAGTTTACTACTCCAGCATAATCTTTGCGATTTAGGGAACATATAAATTGTACTGGAAGCTCAATATATTTTACCAAAAGAGACTGTTCTTAGACTGTATACCAGGGTCGACTGAATTGACTGAATAAATTCTGATTTCAAGCTGAGAAGTAGTTTATCTATGAGCTGAATGGGCTGAGCCACGGCCACTGAGCCTTATGATTTAGAAATTGTGGAAACCTCGATGTGGGTATCTGAACTACTGTAGGTGCTCATGTCATGTGTGCTAAATATATTTTCAGAAATCCAACACGGAGAAAAAATTATGGAGTTACTAATATCACACTATGTATGAAACTTGGTCTAGGACGAAGAGTAGGCTGATAAAAATTGATACGTGAAATGTGCAGGAAAATAAAGAATAGAATATACTTCACCACCTTCATGTTATACATATGATTTTTCCGTCTCTTTCGAATAAGGAGTCATTTTCAAATAATTTATTGATGAAAGTAACAAAGAAGTAGGTATATACGCTAAGTATACGCAGTTTAATTTAAAGGCACGTTATTTTCACTCTTGCATCCTACATATTTTCATATTGGATTCGTCATCTTACATCTCAGTCATCTTGAATGTTTCAATTTTTGGCGAAACAATCATTATCTCCTACCCCGAAAACCCCCAGATACCAATTTTGAATAGAATCGGTTCTTCATTACAAAACTCGTCCATATTGGATCCGCCATCTTGAATATCCCAATTTTGACAAAAAATCATTGAGTTCGACCCCGAAAACCCTCAGATACCAATCTCAAATAGAATCAGATCATAATTAGAAATTTCTTTTGCTATATATTGGATCCGTCATCTTGAATTCTCCAAGTTTGACGAAACAATCATCATCTCCAACCCCAGAAAACCCCACATTCCTTCCAATTTTGAATGGATCGGATCATAATTCCAAAACTCGTTCGCCATATGATTTTCCTCAACAAGTAAATACCCTGTACATACCTATTATTGAAATTTTGATTGATTTTCTGTAGCGCCCATGGAAGTGACGTGACAGCAATGTCAGGGATGCCAGTAGACAAAACTAAAATCTCTAGATCATTAAAAAAGAATGCAGCTATGATCTGTCCGTACCCTGTTAAGATGACTTTAACGTCAATTTCCATCAAGGGACCCTAATCAAAACTGAACAGTAGATTTTGATAATCATCACAATTTGCTATTATAATTGATGAAAAAAATATAGAAACCTATATATTGAACGAAAACATGATTATGGTTGATCTCTATACCTATTAAAAATCGAACAGAGGATAACAAAAAATAATAAAATAAGAAATTAAATTTGTATTATCCTCAACCGAACTGAAAATGAAATCTAATTGGGTAGTTATGTCATATTATAACATGACCATTCAGGCCATTGCCTTGAACAGTAGAGCAGTAGAGTGGTAGAACGGAGACAAAAACAGTAGATCTACTGTTAAAATAGTAGGTCTGGCAACGATGGTTGACGAACGCCTCTGGTGGTCGACACTGTTGACAAATGACAATCGATAGAAAATCAATAAAAACCGAATGGGCCAATCAAATTTTGTGTCGGACCTATAGCCAATGAGACTTCGCTTTACCCCTCCAAATTTTGGATCTGAGATCCAGCGCATGTCTGTTAAAATCACAACTAAATGAAAAGGCCTATTTATTAAAGAAAAAATTGAAAATAGGTTGATTGATATTGTTCATTTAAAGAGTGAGGATCAGTTGGCAGATATAAGCTGTTTTTTCTTGTTGAACCGTGTTCAAGATTAGTTTTGAACCGTTTTCAAGCGTGACGTAGTGATTTATCTCATTCAAGAAAACAGACTATTTCGAAATTGAAGCTGTCATAAGTCAGATACATAACACATAACCTGAAAACCGAAATCAATAATTGAATTTTAAAATTGATGATTATCTGTGAGAACTTGAGAAGTGTAAAAGAATGGAATCACTAATAGTGTATTTTTTAATTGATAATCAGCAGATGAGGCACGGTGTTTGTCTTTCACAAATGTTGAACCAGTCCAGAGAAATAGATAATAATCTGGAAATGATTATTCTTCTCGAAAATTTTCAGTATCTTAAAGTGGAAAATTATGCACCATACCCTCATCACACTCCATTTTTCAAGCTATATAGTCGATTTCTCAAAAATAATATTTATAACCTAAAACTTCGACGTTTTCCCACTCTTCCACTGGTTTTCCTGGTTCGAACACGGTTCGAACCGTTCATTTAGAAGTTTTTGAACCGCAATCAACCGTATTACTTGGTGACGTCATAACTTGCTCAAGAAAATGCTTGATTTCAAATCGGTTTGAACACGGTTCAACAAGAAAAAACAACTATATTCACTAAGCCCTTAGCTAGAATAAAATTCGAAAAATTCAGAGAAGGTTTGGGCTTGTTAACCAAGTAGGTAGATAGATATAAAAGCATCGAAATTTCTCTGATATATTTATGTAGGTGTAGAATACATTATTTTGTTTATAATTAATGAAGCAAGTTGAAATAATTTTATTGAGGGGGGATGTTAGAAATAAAACAATAAAACCATTTTAACTAAAATATATTGAACCTGCTGTTGGTCTGCTAGCCACAACTGTGTTGTAGTTCATATGTTGGCAACTTTATGTTTTATGACAGTTGTCTACATAACCAAAGATATCACTTAAGATAACCTAAGTTAAGATAACCTAAAATGATGGCATGTGGCGCGCTTTTGCAATGATATTTAATAAGTGTAATTTTGCTCAATAAATAGTTAAAACTGAATATCTTCCATTATTACCACTGATAAAAACGGCCTTTCATCATTTTGCACCGGTTTTGCACCCGCACACATCAGTTCTCTCCAAAATAGGAACTGGAAATAATATAATAAAATTTTATTGTTGGAGGTTAAAGCTTGATTTTCATGACAACGTTTTGCGTCATGCGTCTTGCGTTGCCTCGTTCTGATTGGCTATTTTGACTGACGCATAATTTCGTAGGAATGAAGTTAAAAATATTTAACTTCTTTGCGTCGAACGCGAGAAAGCGAGAAATGTGGGATAGAGAACCTCTACTCTTGTAGGTTATGTTTTCGTTTTAGGTTTTCCCAATCACCCAAAACAGGAAGAGCACAGATTTAAGAAAACTTGAATTCAATGAAATTCATACTATCCACAGTGTACTTACTCAGGTTTTCAATGGTTTATTGAGATATGGAAAAGTAAGTGACTACTATAGAATTCCATTGAACCTATATTAAAATCAGGGAATATTTGTCAACCAAAATACTACAGATTTTTTTTTAAACAAAAACTAATGTATACTGTTTTTAGTTTTATATGTGAGGAATGCAGGGAGCCCTCAACAGAGGTAGGTAGGTGAAGAAGTAGCCTCAAAAGGAGAGTTATTGATTCAACTTGCGAATAAAATTAATAATTTTCTCCTTCGCCAATTTTGTTCATCCATTTCATATATGAAAAATGAATATTTTAACACTGCAGGTGTCAAATTATTACTACTTTTGGCAATAATTATTGAAAACCTATAATAAATTTTAAATATTTGACGCATGTATGAAAATTATAACAAATTTCATCGAATTTGAAATAGCCAATCAGAACGAGGCAACGCAAGACGCACGACGCAAAACGTTGTCATGAAAACAAAGCTTAACTCGGATGCAGTGGTTTGCCTTTGTTTATAACTTAAAGCATCCTGAAATTCCCTCTTGACTTCTGTTTAGTTGCTCACCTTTGTTTATTGTGTTATTCGCGATAGAAAATAACACGTCGCTCTACCTCACGGCAACAGCTTGAGCTTGAACACTTCTGACTTCTGAGTGGTATGTTTTGATGATGTGACCAATAAGCACAAATAAAAAACACATTTGAACCAATGAAAACAATGTAAACATGCCGCTTTCACAGCTAGACAGCTAGACGCTTATGAATTGACAGATTGACAAGTCCAATGTCACCAATGTCCAAAAAGTGAAGAGTGATACCTCCATCTTCCTGTAAACCCCAAAACCCCAGTGAAGAGTTGATGACCTCCATCTTCCTAATACTGTAAACCCCAGAAGAGCATCATAAAAAAAGAAAGGCATGCATTTGTTGGCAAAAGATCAAAGTAAAAACAAAATTAGAACTTTCAGGTGTGAGTTGTGAGTGAGCATATTTTATACTTGTTGAAAAGTGACAAATAAACTGAAGTGAGGAGCTTTTGAAAACTTTCTGAAGAAAAATTGTTGAAATATGGCTATAACACTCCTCAATCCGTTTACTTTCGGATTAATGATAGTAATAGCAGTAGGAACAGTTGCTTACCAAGTCTATAGTCAGAGAAATACATTTGAGCTCCCAAATAATCATTATGTCAATAATAAACCAAGTTCTATTATTATTATTCCAAGGGATACCTCAACTGTGGCTGATGACGATGAAAAGTAAGTATGTAGCCAGGAGCAAATTTACTATCATGAAATCCATGGTGAGCTAGAAGAAACCTCTGAAAAATGCACTTGTCAAATCATTTTCAATTGATTTTTATTATTGATGAAATATAGAATAAAGTAGGTATGTAATCAAACAACATGATTATCCTGAGATCCCCAAGCATATAACAATACTTTGACTTTGGGAAATAGAAATTCTAATAAGTGTTGACAGTGAATGAACCCAGGATTGAATGTTCATCTATTGCAGGAAGAAAAAAGAGGACATGGATAAATGTTCTATCTGCCATGAAGTACCACTGAAGAGGGATCAAAAAGCTCTACCTTGTAACCACATTTTCCATTCTGATTGTATAAAACAGTGGTTTAAAGTGAAAACAAGCTGCCCTGTGTGTCGTAAAGTGTTTAAAATAATGGTTTGAAGTGGAAAAAAGCTGCCCTGGGTGCTGTACTAAAATGATATAAGTATCTGGTTTTTACATTGTGGACTAATTGAAGTGGTCCTGGGAAATGCTTGGAGGTTCTGAAATATCTCATAAAAATTTGCCACTTTGGTGTTTTTTTTTTTTCTATTAATTTATTATTATTATTGATTTCATTTGTAGCATTTAGTTAGACAACTTTGCAATGACTAACAAGATGTCTGAGAGAAGTGAGAGCCACCTTGTATAATTGTTTTATTTGCCATGCATTCTGAAATCGTTTTTGTATTTTAGGTCTGTTTTTTCATTGATTATATATATTTCAAGTAGTTAGTTATTTGTGTGAAAATGTTTTTAATTCATATTGAAAGACAAGACATTTTCAAATAATTTCATTTTTGTGAAATGTATGATTATTTTGTATTAATAAATGATGTTGGGGTACTAACAAAAAACCTTTGAGTTTAATTGTAATGATTTTTCTTTTCAATATTCTGATTGACAACCAGGGACATAACATTCCTTCATTTGTCAGAAATGCTTTCAAATTCAAATTAATTTCATAATCATTTGACTGCCTAAATTACTATGATTGTGGAATACAATTATAGAGTCAAGGTATTATTAATAATTTCTCTTGGGTAATTGATCTAAGTATTTCCTAATTTCAACTGTGTTAATGTATATTTTACATTTGTTTCAGATTTGTGATTGTTATTTTCATTATACTGCTCACAACTTATTTAATATTGACATGTTCCTAAATAAAATGAATTATAGACAATAACTAGTGGTAAATACTTAAGCATTTTCAATGAAGATTCAAACTGATACATATATCAATAGATTCCTATGGCTGGGGGACCACCAAACACGAAGTTCCATGAACTAGGGATGGAAATGTCTTTTGCTGCAGCATCAGCCAAATCTAATACAAGCAATAGTTTGGACAGCATTGTAAATGCATCAGGTCTGTTGTCTCCTTCAGAAATATATTTCAAAAGTAATGTACATTTGAGGTTAGTTGATAGTACTTCATACAGTCCAAAAGCAAAACCAGAACCAGTAAGAATATATTTTCCTCCTGCATCTTTTTTTAGTGGTTGTATACCTTTACACTCCATAAAATCACTACCAACTCCATTATCTATGCAACAAAACTTGTTACCAGTGACTGTATGTAACTCATAGTCAAAGGCACTTGCTAAAATGATTATCTTGTTGACTCCCAATCTTGATAATTCATACTGTAGATCTTTGAAGAACTTGGTTGCAATTTGGTTATCGATGGATGAACGTAGTTGAATAGTGGACAGCTTCAATGTATCATTGATGTAAAGTTCACATGCTGTACAAACATCTAGTGAATCGAAATCATAAGGATCACTTCCCAAAGATGGTGAAATACCAGGGTGCCAGATAGTAGCACATTTCTCAAAGTTGTATGTTTTGATTAATAAATCCACTGTTAACTGAGGAACATTTCCAACAGAAACACTAGGTATCACTAGAGTGAAATCATTCAGATTGATATTTCTGAAAAAATTCATCATGGAAATAGGCATCTTGTTTGTTTTGATGTATACCTGCTACAAAATTATTATCGTATTATGAAATGAAATTTGAAATGTATTTTTATAAATTCATTCAAAAATATCATCTAAGGGTCTGTTCGTTTGTGTTGCTGTTATGCTGTTGCTGAACTTGTTAAGCTCAGTGTTGTTCCTGGGTCTGATTTTTTCGTAGTAGATTTACTTGGAAAAAGGTAACAGATTTGTATGGAAAGGTAATAGATCCAAAAAATCTGACATTCGGAATAAAAATATAGAACATAGACCCATAGAGCAGAACATAATTATCCACTGAACACAGATATAGATTTTTTAGTAACAAAACATCATATTTTGGTGCCAACAGCAAATAGTAATTGATTTACGGATTAAACGACTTACCTGGTAAGGTAAGGAAGTTCAATCCTAATTATACGAGTGGTTCCGTAGAGTAGGTCACGAGTGTAGTGTGCTCCATTGCTGTCGAAGAATCATACAGTACATTCAAAGAAACGCGCCTCTGCATCTCGGTGTCCCGTCGTTACTGTCATCTGTCACCTCATTGCGAAATCCAATTTATTAGATCGCAGGGGGTAGAGCGGGAATTTTAACTGGGTGGGTCTGACCTACTCTACGGAACCACTCGTATAATTAGGATTGAACTTCCTTACCTTACCAGGTAAGTCGTTTAATCCGTAAATTATACTTCATGGTTCCTTCGAGTAGGTCACGAGTGTAGTTGTTCAAAGATCAGCGATCTAATGCTCAGGAGACGCTTTAGTTCAAAACTATTTATTTTACAAAAAATATATAAATTTATTAACAAATAATTTTCATGTACATTACAGGTTGAACTCCTTGACAAAAAATTCATGTTTCCTGCCTGCTGCTGGCATTATTAATTTTTTGTTCTCAGACTCAAAATACTTTCCTGGAAGCCATTAGCTTGTTGAACTGGTCTATTATAAAACCTATTGAAACTTGTAGATCTATCTGACCATCCAGCAGTTGTTCTAATTATGTCTATACTTAATCCTGTTCTAAGGGCTGCCGAAGAAGAAGCATGTCTTGTGCTATGAGATTTAAATATTTGGGTGTTAATACCACATTCCTCAAGAGTATCTTTCACCCATCTGCTGATTGTTTGTACTGAAGCAGCCTTGTAAGGTCTCTTGTGACTTATGAATAGGCTATCAAGGCTATCATTTTCCTTTCGTATATCTCTTGTTATTTTTAGGTAATGTCTTAAAGTAATAGCTACACATAACCCTGGTTGCTCAGAGAATAACTTAAAACTTAACAAGGGTTGTGGAAAGTTGGGCCTAGATGTCTTAATTATGTCGGTTATAGGGATATCAATACTATCCTTCTTCTGAAGGATATTGCTGATTTTTATTTTTGAAAATGTTTGCATGCGCTGAGCAGTTGTCAGAGCCATTAAAGTTATTAGCTTCTTTGTAATTTTCTCTAAGGTTAATGATTCCAGTGGGTACCACCTATCTAGTGTTAATAACACTGGGGTTGGATCCCATGTGAATTTATATCTAGGAAATGATGGTCTCAGTTTGAATACACCCTTAAGGAACCTTCTTATGTTTTCATTGTCTTTTATATTATGACAGATTAAGGCCAATGCTGAGCGAATGCCACATATTGAAGAATAGGCTGCCCCATGAGAATACTGAATTTCCATAAATCTTAAAACATCTTGTGCTGAAGCTTCATATGGACAAATAGATTCTGCCATGCAAAATGTCCACCACTTGCCATATGTTGAACTGTATTGTCTCAGAGTTGCTAGCGAAAATGATGCTAGCATGGTATCTATAGTACATTCTGGAGCTCCAGACCTTAACAATGATGCCCTGATAACCTCCCTGCCACCAGGGTAAGGTTCTTCCAAATTGGGTGGCTGGTTCTGAAAGGAGACGTTAGTAAGTATTTATCTGGTTTAAATAGAATTGGTTCATCCACAAGCATTCTAATGAATAATGGGTACCATGGTTGTGCTTTCCATCTAGGTACAACTAAAATGCCCTCCCATTTTTCTGTCCTTATTTTATTGAGAGTTCTTGCTATCAAACTGAATGGTGGAAAGGCATAAAAAAAGAAATTCCATGGAATCGTAAAGGCATCTATGGCTATAGAGTTAGGATCATGTTTCCATGAAACAAACTTATCAACTTTGGCGTTATTGGTTGATGCAAACAAGTCTACTTCCGGTTTTCCCCATTTCTGTACAATATTCTCAAATTTTCTACTGTCCAGACTATATTCAGTTTCTATAGCTTTGAAGCGTGACTCTTTATCTGCCAAGGAATTATCTTTAGATTTAATGTAAGTGGCAAAAATGTGTAGATCTTTTAGTTCACACCAGTTCCAAATTTCTCGAGAAATCTTGCTCAATATACCACATCTTACTCCACCCATTTTATTTATATATGATATTGCTACTTTATTGTCTACATGCAGTAAAATACTACATGAAGATAATTCTTTGGCAAAACATTTTAATGAATAGAAAACTGCCTTGAGCTCTAGAATATTGATGTGTAACTTAATTTCTTCACTTGTCCAAAATCCATGTGTGCTGATATCTGCACAAACTGCACCCCATCCAGATGGTGATGCATCTGAAAAGATCTCTAAGACAAACTTTTTATTTACTTCCAAGGATTGACTAGCTGACATAATGTTTCTCAACCACCACCTCAATTCATTTCTACATTTTTCTCTTATCTTCATTATTTTATCATAATTATTATTTTTATACAAGGCTATTGTCTTTTCTTTCTCCAAAAGCTTTGTGTGTACCCAACCGTACTTAACAGCTGGTGAAATTGAGGTCAAATATCCTATTACTTTTGCAAACACCCGGATTTTACAAGCAGGTTTATTCATGATATGATCAATCTCCTCAACAATCTTTTGTTTCTTTTCTTCTGAAATGGAAATTGACATATTTCTGGAGTTGTAAATGAACCCTAGAAACTTACAAGACTGACTTGGGATAAGGCAACTCTTTTTATAATTTATAATAAACCCCAGTGATTCTAAAAATTTTAGAGTATTGAATGTTTTTCTGTGGCTGTTTTCATAAGAATCTTCAATGATCAATATATCATCCAGATAATTTATGCATAAAAGGCCATCAGACCGCAATGCCTGCATAACAGGCTTGAAAAGCTTTGTATATACATATGGGGCTGAGGAAAGGCCAAACGGCAAGCAGGAAAATTCGTATACTTTGTTATCAAAACTAAATCTCAGGTACTTTCTGTAATATATATCAATTGGTACCAGGAAATATGCGTCCTTAAGGTCAATTGAGGTTAAGTAACATTCTTTAAAAATCAAATTGTGAACTGTCTTATAATTTTCTAATTTGAAATGTTCTAGTATTATGAACCTATTCAAGTTCTTTAAATTAAGAACAAACCTATACTTTTTATTTGGTTTTGAAATCAAAAAGTAAGGTGACAAGAATTGGTCCTTAACTGGAACACATTCTTGTATGGCACTAATGGTAATTAGTTTTTTAATCTCCAAGGCCATAAGCCTATGGTTAGTTGCTGATAATGGTAAGTTTTTTGGAACCCTCAATTGAGTGGGTCTCCTATTAAAAGGTATTTTATAACCAGAGATCCACCCTAATACAACTGGATTAGTTGTCACCTTTGACCATTCTAGGATGAATTGACCAAGTCTGCCTGCATACTCTACCTCTACTGCCGAGGCTGATACTGCTGACGAGTCTGATACTGCTGACGAGGCTGATACTGCTGACGAGGCTGATACTGTTGATAGTCTTGGTGTGATCTTCTCCTGCTCCCATCTCTTCCCCCTTCCTTCTTTTTTCCTTTCATTTTCTGCTTGTAGTTGCTGCGCTTGTAGTTTAAATAATTCTTAGTACTGGTGCTAGGTGCAACTTTCAATCCAATTTTCATCTTTTCAGCCTCCTGTAGCTGCTTGATGCCATTACTTAAATCATTTCCAAATAAATGAACATCAATTTCACTAGAGTTCAATAATTTGTGTAATTTGAAGTCAACTGCAGGAATTATGCCCATTCTGCGATGACCTGATAATCTATAATGAACTCTGGTAAACATCTTAGATGCATCTGATAGTGTTGACAATAATTCCCTCTTTTCCAAAAACTCCATGGCCATTATTTGGTTGAAAGCCTCACCCAAAATACTCAAACCCAAACCTAATTGGTCCTGTAATTTACTGGTGAAAATATCTTGTTTGAGTGATCGTTCAGAGAGCACTGCCTGAATCTCTGGATTCAGAATGGGGGCTTTCAAATGAGGGCAATTTGTGGAAAAATTCCAACGTTCCAAAAGTTTTGTTTCTTGGTCCTTGTCAAACCCTGCCTTTAAAAAACTTGTCCACCTTGAAACCAGCGGCGGAGGCAAAGCCTTCCCTTCTACTAGTTGTTTGGTAGGGTCCGTCCCTAACACATCATCCATGTCATCCATGGGGGCTATGTTTTCATCCATGGGTGTTGTATTTTGTATTTCTCCCAGGGGTGACCTTGGGTGCCATTCCTCCACTGACCTCTCTGAGTCACTACAGGAGCTCTCAGATTCTGAGCCTGTCAAAAACAAAAATTGAAATATTAGAATTCAATAATGATTCTCTACTATTTTCTGTTGTTCTCATATATGGACAGTGGTCTGTATAGAGCTGGATTGTACTGCAAAGCAGGCTGAGCTCTCATGATCATGATTATATATAAAAATAATCATAACCCAATCATGTCTACTGCAAAGCAGGGACGTTGATTGTTCAAGTGTTCATTGGGTACCTATACTCCATACCCATACACAACATCAATTCCACTGCAAAACAGGGATGATGTTGATTGTTTCAGGTGTTCATTGGATATTCATTGGGTCTATCACATACCCATGTACAACATCGATTCCACTGCAAAACAGGGATGATGATTGTTTCACCTGACTTATATCATTAGTTCCATCGCAAACGAGGACTAGATGATATGAATTATTTTAGCGGCTACATGTGGTAATCTGTGGCGTCATTGTGGCGTGGTCTTCATAACCTACAACAATTCGTTTTCATGATCAACTTACTTGACGATCCTAGTCGTTCTAGTTTGGATTCCAATTTCCTGAACTTTTCTTTAAGTTTGATATATTCCTTTGACTTCCTCTTCGGCATATTTTTTCCGTTTTAAAGTTATAATTATCGAACGCATGTACTCTTCCGTCGACATACAATTTCGCAATGAGGTGACAGATGACAGTAACGACGGGACACCGAGATGCAGAGGCGCGTTTCTTTGAATGTACTGTATGATTCTTCGACAGCAATGGAGCACACTACACTCGTGACCTACTCGAAGGAACCATGAAGTATAATTCATGACAAATCGTAATATCGTAACAATTCAATCTCCGTGGAATAGTAATAGATCTATTTCAAAAGTAATGAGAAGAACAACACTGGTTAAGCTTAGTTTATTGCTGGGCGATTTTGGCTTTGGCGATGCTAGCGATGAAACTTGGTGGTGTTATTATTGATTAGTCAATTTGAATTGGGTAGACATCATCGACCAATAATAGCTTCACACGTTTCATAGTTTCATCGCCAAATCCAAAATCAAGCTTAAAGTTCATTGCTGAAGCGATGAAATTTGGTGACCACCACCATCGCCAAATCCAAAATCGCCCAGCTTATGATGTTGATTTTGTTCTCATAGTGGTCTTTGTTCATAGCATATTGTAGGCATGAGAAAGCAGATAAAGTCATATAAAAAATGTAGCAGGTAGAGCATACACGACAACGAACGGAGGCCTCTAAATTGTGACACAGATTGTGACTAGACTACTAGACAATTGAAGACATTAGATGACAGTCATGACAGATGACATGACAGGATATGATGAATTGATGAACAAAGACGGAATTTAAGTCCTTTCCTTTGCGTGAAAAGTGTAGCAGTTTCCCCACCTCGTGATGTATTTTACCATGTGGAAAACTGGAAAATTATATAAAAAATGACAATTGTCAGATTAAAAATGTCAAAACATTGAACCTCTGTCGCTCTGTCAAACAAACATTTTTAGGTTATCTGATACGATACGACTGATACGAGCTGTGGATGGGAGTAATGTTTATATGGAAATGCAGTTTCATGACTTTCAAAGTTTATTTATGATTTAAATAAGTAGAAAATCTGTCCATTTCATGATATAATAATGAATAGAGAAAAACGCAGCAATGCGGGAAACCGCATGGCCAAACTGTTGGATGAGGAGGAAGAATGCCAGGATGAGTTTTACAAGTTGAATTATGGGGGTTTTGACGAAACCCAATCTGATAGAGAATATGAGTATGGTGTTGCTTGGTTGATGCAATATACAAGGAACTCCTCAATATGATCGTTTCAGGGCCGAGGAAGAAGGAGATGATATTGTGGACTCTGACTTTAGTATTGATGAAAATGATGAGCCGGTTTCGGAAAACGAAGGTGATGAATCACAAAAGAAAAATCGAAGGCTCGTCACAAAAGCTTATAAGGTGAATTTGTTTCAATTGATTTTTCAGTCTGTTAATTATTTCAAATGTTTATAATATACCTAGCATGAATGATAATAATAATAATTTACATTTATGTTCACTCAGGAACCCATCCCAACTCAGAAGAAAGAAAAACAGATACTCAAGACAAAGCCACTCTTATCAAAACCAAAAACTAGTTATCAACATAATGTACAATTAGGTGAGAATGGCAGATTGTTGGAAGTTTCTTCATTTTGAGTTTGCCTTAATTTTATGGTATAATTATTTTAGGAAGAAAATCAATAAGAAAATCCACTTTGGCAAAGACTGCAGAAACAGCTCAAAGAATTAAAGTTCGAAATCTGGAGCAGAGAAAGAAGGTGAGAAAAACTACAGTAGAAGAGTGGATTCCCACTCAAGAAGAACTACTGGAAGAAGCCAAATTCACTGAACAGGAAAATTTGAAATCTCTAGAAAAATATCAGAAAATGGAAAGTGAAAAGAAAATAAAAAGGCCTGCCAAGAAAGTTTATTCTGGACCAATGATTCAATACAAATCAACTAGAATGCCAATTATTGATGAAATGGACAATATTGAGGGGTAAGTGTTGAAATAATTCCCACCCCAGGTAGGGACAAGTTTATGTGATTTGTACCCTGTGATACCCATCAATTTCCCATTTTACTTATTAGAGAAGTGAAGAATGAAGATGGGCAAAGTGAAAAAAGATATTGTGAAAGGACTTTCATCACTATTCTAAATGATCCTAATGATGTTTTGTTCAAAAAAGTTTATAATGTTAAACCACCACCTGTCCATCCCAAGAAGTTGAAATGTGCAGTGACTGGGTAAGTTAATTTCTTTAATATCCAATTATGGACCAAATTTTTGTTGATAACAGCAAACAAGTTGATTGAATTATTGGTTGGATGGTTGGACTATTTTTCCACTTTATATCAAGTATGTTTATAAATTGATTTTTTGTCATGTTAAAAAATGAAACATAAGCTCTAGTATAACTAACAAATTCTCTCCCATGAAGTCCAGATTCCTGCATTATCAATATCAACATAACCTGAAGATGCAATTCTGAATTTCTTCCAATGTAGTGAAAAATGCCAAAACCCAGTGATTTCTATTTTTACCCCTGAGGAAAAGATTGAGTAAGCCTCCAAATTGGTTATTCCCAATATCCTCCTGAATATTACTAGTTTTCTTTTCCTCTCCATTTTCCCATGACCTAAGGAAAACTTGGACAGTCAGTTACCTAGTACTCACAGTTGATGTTTCAGAGTAGTCTTTCACTTCACCAATCACTGAACAATTTATTCTATGCATCACAAAGTACTGTACAAACACCCAGTTTGAATTCACTTTGAATGACAGGGCACCACAGGTTCAAACTGACTAGTTTGACTAACACATTTAGGTTAAGTTCTCTCTTCTTCCTGCACCAATAGGGCGAGGGCAGGTGACGTCACATGACAGCTGTCTTTAGCTGTCAATCAGCCTGCTGGACAAACAAACCATATTTCCATAAACAACAATGATAATTTAATGATATTATAATTGAAATTCTGAGGAAATTATAGGTTTTTACCTAAAGGAAGGGAACATAATGTATATTGATATCATTTTTCTACTTGCTTGCAAGAATACTGTTTGTAAGATGGCTGATAAAAGTGATTATTTCAATACATTGTCTATGGATCTCCAGAAGAGATATTTAGATGAGCTGAAAGAAACCAATGGATGTGATCCCTATATATGGAAATTTGGTGATTGTAGTGTGAAGGACTCTCCTAAAATTTCAATGTATGACATAAACTATTTTGTATTTAAGAAGAGTGCATACACAGGAAATGATTCAGTGCACTTGACATGCCTGAAATGAAAAAATATTTTCAATTTTCATGATGACTATGCTTCCTAGATTCTCAACATACTTCATACAGAGATAAGTTGGGTAACTTATCTCTGCTTCATATTATGAAATATTTTGAACATACTGTTGCCCATTTCAACTTCTCAGTAGTTAAATTTGCTCTTTTAATTGCCTGAATCCACAAAATTCACGTCCCTTTTCAGCAAGAGGATTAATATGTTTCCTATTATCAAAATTCAAAGGGAATCTTTATAAAAAACTAGGAAGCGCTCATGTTATGTCATTCAGTTCAAGAATATGGTTTTTCTTTGGCTATAACACAAAATTGCTCTTGTTTTATTCTGTTCAATACATCAATGAGGTACTTTGTATTCCATTAATTTTATTTTTTCTTATCTGATATCACAATGACTCCATTGTGTTATGATTTCAAAAAAATCTCATCGCTCATGGAATGTCAAAGGACCCCGCACATTTAGTACGTAAAATGGCTTTCGGCTAAATTTTCTGAAAATTTGATATGTTTAAGACATTATCGTCCTTATCACACAGTCCAATTTACAGATCGATCCTATGACCAGTTTTCGAGCTACAGGGTGTCAAACATTAGATTTTGGCTGTTTAGAATATTTTGCATCAATTTGAATTATGTGCTCTAAGTCGTGATTATTCTTCAGTAGGAATGAACTCTTCACGTCTAATATCTACCTCATGAATCCCTCTATTCGGTTAGAGGATAATATCACATACAGAGTATTGCATTCCATCATGACAAGGTAATATTCTTGGGAAAAGACAAATATTGAAAACATCAGAATTTTGATTTTTACTCAATCACTGAAAACTTGAAAACAAACGGCTAGAATCGGCCAATTATGTGACACAGTATGGGTCTTGATCATAAACATGAGGATTCATATGATTACCTCTGATACCATGTCTGGTTGGCCATATATAGGGTGATGACAATTCGAAAGCTTATAGAATTGATGTAACTCAGGTACAAAATGAGATACATTTCTATAATATATGAAGTGGAAAATGGAATGTCTCATAAAATAATCCACCCCCACCAAGCCCCTGATGAGTCACAACCACCCCAACGCATATCATCTCAACGGTAGCCCCTACTTATTGTGATACCTCATTGTATAGCTTGGTGAAAATACATTCCAGTGGTTTTATTATTGATATCTCGAACTGGGCGAACTAACAAAAAATATTTATTACCAATATCATTCTGCTGGGGTAACGTATTAATTTTATAACTTTTGAAAAATAAATCGTAAATATCGACCACCATAGAGACATATTGCTGAAATAGTTATATTCAGATGATTTGAAACAAGTATTATTTGTGTACGGTAGATCGGTGTAGCGAGAGAACACGGCGATGAACAGAATGTTTAGTCCAGGTAAGTACCTAAATGATTATGTTTTCATAAGATCAAAATTATGTTGAACAATTTGACTAGGTATAGGTAATATTTCAATTAGCCAATTTTCGAATATCATCCAAACATCTTTGGGGGATTTATGTTGATTGAAGAGGTTTCGAATAATTATTGTCTATTTAGTTCAATGAGTGGTTATCGAATGGAAAATGACTTTTCAATATCAATTAACTGATTATCATTTATGGTGCAATGTGGATGAGTTGATGAAAATGCCAGTGGGCTATGACGAAAATCATGAAATGTCAAATGACCGAATTTGACAACAATATACTTACTATTGTTATGATATTTTATTGTCACGAGTTGTTAGTGATTATTGAAATATTTTCAAAAAAGTTGTGATTGCGTGATCAGTGAAAACATAATCATTTAGGTACTTATACCTGGACTAAACATTCTGTTCATCGCCGTGTTCTCTCGCTACACCGATCTACTGTACACAAATACTTGTTTCAAATCATCTGAATATAACTATTTCAGCAATTTTTCAAAAGTTATAAAATTAATACGTCACCCCAGCAGAATGATATAGGTAATAAATATTTTTTGTTAGTTCACCCAGTTCGAGATATCAATAATAATAATACCACTGGAATGTATTTTCACCAAGCTATTCAATGAGGTATCACAATAAGTAGGGGCTACTATTGAGATGATATGCGTTGGGGTGGTTGTGACTCATCAGGGGCTTGGTGGGGGTGGGTTATTTCATGAGACATTTCATTTTCCACTTCATATATTATAGAAATGTATCTCATTTTGTACCTGAGTTACATCAATTCTATAAGCTTTCAAATTGTCATCACCCTATATATGGCCAACCAGACATGGTATCAGAGGTAATCATATGAATCCTCATGTTTATGATCAAGACCCATACTGTGTCACATAATTGGCCGATTCTAGCCGTTTGTTTTCAAGTTTTCAGTGATTGAGTAAAAATCAAAATTCTGATGTTTTCAATATTTGTCTTTTCCCAAGAATATTACCTTGTCATGATGGAATGCAATACTCTGTATGTGATATTATCCTCTAACCGAATAGAGGGATTCATGAGGTAGATATTAGACGTGAAGAGTTCATTCCTACTGAAGAATAATCACGACTTAGAGCACATAATTCAAATTGATGCAAAATATTCTAAACAGCCAAAATCTAATGTTTGACACCCTGTAGCTCGAAAACTGGTCATAGGATCGATCTGTAAATTGGACTGTGTGATAAGGACGATAATGTCTTAAACATATCAAATTTTCAGAAAATTTAGCCGAAAGCCATTTTACGTACTAAATGTGCGGGGTCCTTTCAATCAATGACAGCTCTGTCTGTGGCTCATGCTGCAAACTTCATACTCGTGGGAAATCACTATCATTCGCTGCTCGTAAGACAATATAAAAGGTGCGTTCGGTTATAACATATCTGTTAGCTCGGAAAGCGTTCGATAAATCAGATCTACTTCCTCTGTCTAATCTGCTCCGTGTTCGTTAATTGTCAGAGCGAGCTGAAAGATGGATGTAATCTGTTTGCTCCGCCTTGAGGAGCAGATCATTCAGATTTGATCGGTTATTCGGTTGTCAATTGTTATTGAAATTATATCTCTTTTATGACGAAAAATTGAAGACTCGATCAACTGGAAACGAAACACAAAACTGAATTTTGTAGAATCCTCATTGCCCAGAATCGCCAGAATGACCGACGAATTTGCTGTAGGTAGCATATTAATTATATATCTGTAATATATGCGATCACAACTGCCCTGGATCCACAGTTAATGACCGATCATATTAGACAGAATCATTCCTTCCCTAGTAATTTTCAAAATATAAACAACAAACATTCAAAAAAACTTTGTTGCCCTGAAGTGTTTTTAAAAGTAATAAGGTTAAGTGAATTGTTTCTGTTTTGTGTTACTTCTGCAATCTGCAATCTACTACCTCGTTGAGCGTTCGTTAAATATCTTTAGCTCTATCTGCTAGGTGATCACGTGACACCAAATCTGCATCTGCTCGCTCGGCTCCGATTTTGTTAAACCGAACGCACCTATTATACAATTTCATTTTCGGGCAGTGAACACGCCCACTTTCTGTCGATTGTTCTACTCCCAGATTTTCGCGGCCGACCTGAAATAAAGCATCTAGAGACAGGGCGCAAATAATCCTTGCGGATACTGAAAAAAAAAATAGCGAATCTCTATCGGCCCAAACAGTAAATGCCTTCACAGTATTTTTTTAATATTGATCACCTCGGAAAATAAGGGGGAAGGATTATACCAGTATACTTCCACAAGGATTATTTGTTGAAAGATTTGTTGTATCGCGGCCGATATTAAATGAGGCATCTAGAGACAGGACGAAAAGAGACAGGGCGCAAATAATCCTTGCGGATCCTGGAAAAAAACATTGAAATAGAGAATCACTATCGACCCAAACAGCAAATGCCTTTACAGTACCTAATCTTTTAGATTAATCACTTTGAAAAAAAAAAGAGGAAGGATTATACCAGTATACTTCCACAAGGTTCATTTGTTGGAAGATTTTGTTGTATCGCGGCCGACCTGAAATGCGGCATCTAGAGACAGGATGCAGAGAGACAAGGCGCAAATAATATCTTGGAAAGAAACATCATTGAAATAGCGAATCACTATCGGCCCCAACAGTAAATACCGTCACAGTATTTTTTTAAATTAATCACTTAAAAAAAAAAGATAAGGGATTATACCAGTATACTTCCACAAGGATTATTTGGCATCGCGGCCGACCTGAAATGAGGCATCTAGAGACAGGACGAAAAGAGACAGGGCGCAAATAATCCGTGCGGATCCTAAAAAAAACATTGAAATAGCGAATCACTATCGGCCCAAACAGTAAATGCCTTCACAGTGAGATCAATTGCTAAAAGTGCATCCCAATAACTTGGTTTTCTGTTTTGGGCCAGGAGCTATTTCACTTCCAGTCAGCTGCTTATGATCTGTAAGGCACAGATCCGACCTGTCCTGGAATACTGTTACCATATTTGGAGTGCAGCACCCAAACATACCCTGAAACTGTTGGATTCTGTCCAAAAAAGGGCAATTCGTCTCGTGGGTGATGCCTCGCTCACAAACTCACTCACTTCTCTGCAACACCGTAGAAAATTTGGCGATCTGACTCTATTTCATAGATATTTTCATGGACGATGCTCAACAATTGTTCCTCCCTTGGCAGGTCCCGCGAGATTAACTCGTCGAGTTGAGGCTTCGCACCCCTTCATGGTCACTTTGGAGACATGCAGAACATCTCTTTCCAAAGACTCGTTCATCCAACGAACAGCGAGGCTCTGGAACACATTGCCAAAGGAGGTGTTCCCCGAGGCATATAACCTCCAGAAATTCAAGAAGGACACCAATTCCTACCTTATTTTCCTTGGTTCTCTCGATGTTCTCTGAACATTACAGGATATTCCTTTTCGTGGGAACCAGAACATAAAAAAGCATACTGCTGCTGAAATACCTTTCCCATGTTTTCTCGAATACACAACCTCAGTTGCAGGAGATGTTCCTGTGAGTAAAACAAGCAGGTCAATGTCTTCAATGACAATCACAGCAGACTCATATTGTCTGGCTAGGGGTTTCGCAGTTCTGACGATAAGTACGTCAGCATCTTCCATAGCTTGTTTGGTTGTGATATTTGAAGCTTCGAGTGCAGATTGAAGAAGTTTGACGTACATTTCAATGACAACTAACATCTCCACATGTCATTTAAATGTATTCGCGAGATTCACGAAGTGGGCGACATCTAGGTTACATAATACGAACTTCAAACTGGGGGAAAACAAACTGTTGTCTATGGATAAAGTGCATAGACTACATTGTATTCAGCTTGCTGTAGCTGTAGTCAAACTTGTCAATGACATAAAGTGTTGGCACTGTTGGTAGTGATGATGGTTGAGTTGGTTAATTTTTTCACATTATTACATTTTTATTAGTTTAGTGAACAGTGAACGGGTGGAGAATTGGAGATAGTTCAAACAATTCAAACTAATTATGACGAGCAAATCAATTGACACATAAAAGAACAGCTACAATATATTTACAATACCCAGATTGTCCTGCTTTGCATAAACAAATACAAATCCATTGTTCTACAGGAGTTCCTCTGGAAACCAACTTCAATTTTACTTCATGTGGGGAAGATTTCATCGCCGAAATTTGTAGACAAAGTGCAAAAATGTGCCTTTTGTTGAAGTCTTCTGCCTTCCCACAAAATCACATGATTAGCACGGAGAACTGATTCTCTTTCCACTACTGGTCGGCTTTTTCCGTCTAAATAGAGCAAAATATCTGCCAAAAGTACATCTACAACAGGCTATCAGCGTTTTCGATCGAATATTGACAATTATATTGATGTCAATAAATTTAAAAACATCAGTCTCATCAGTACACAGTACACAATCTAATGGCACTGATGGGATTGAGTGAGGATTGAGTTTGTTTTCCCCCAGTTTTGACGTGCTTTGACATGGAACGATGAAAACCGAGCACCACCTGGTAACATTGATTCCCGCGAATATTTACTATAAACCAGTATTCCATAGAATTTAAGCGACCCAAAAGGACGGAAAAATAGCATTTTTTCTCAAATTGCGAATTTATTCATTTTTGTTGCTCTATAGACGTTTTCGGAAACTTTTCAATCTTCATAATTTGATTGAAGTAATTCATTATTGAGAAGAGAATTTGGGTAGGGGTGAATTTTGTGGTTATGTGCAACAACACATATGAGACAAGTACACCAATCCACAGGTGAATATAAATATTTGTAATCAGATCAAATAATTACTTGAATATAATGTGACCATTTTCGTCTGTCAAATTCATTAAACCACATGAAAAATATAATATTCAGTGTTCCTAACCTGACACGTTCGTAAACGTTGAACACGAGTAGATGATCCGAGTTTTTTGTCACGTGACCTATCTGGATCGAGTTATCAACCCAGAGTAAGTTTCCGAAAACGCCTCTAATCTCCTTTGCTATTGGTCGTGTGAAGTCAACCAGTGAATTTTGTAGAGAATTTCATATTCTACAAGACTGAATATGATGCATTTGGCAATCATGCGCCGTTTAGGAGTTATAAGCAAAAAACTGGAAAACATGTTTTTGGGTGGTTTTTTTCAAGTTAGCGGAAAACGCAGAGGGGTGGGGATGACGAAAACTCAGGGTTTTCACTCTCTAACCATCCCGAACAACATATAAAAAAATCAGGACTACCTGATTTAATGTAGGGTTGGACCCCTCTAGCGACTGGAGTATTGAATTTGAATATAATTTTTTTCTTCAGTATGCCAGCAAAATATATCGACCCGGTTACTTGCGTCCCTTACCACAACAGCACCGCTTTGAAAATAATCCGACTGGCCTATTACAACCATTTGGAAAATAATGGCGACAAGAGCAATACCAGAGTCGCCGAGTTTCTCAAATGGTTGTCTCAGAACAAGAAGAAAATCAGGAGCGAATTGGTTGTACCAGAGCAGAAAGTTTATTTTAGTTGATCTAGTGCATTAGTTTCATTTTATTGATTATTATCATCATCCCTGAAAGGTCGCTGTACAAAATGATGCCATAGAATCCTGAGACCAAAATGAGATGATTGAACCAAACTTACGTCTACACCAAAACGCTTCATTTAGCCACTACAGGGCGTTGGAATTGAATTTTATTTTTTAATTCCTTCGTATTTTTCAATATTTGTCTATAAATATTGTTCTGAAATTTTGTAGGCATACTAAGAGGACTATTATGCATGAAAAACATCCCATACTATTTTGATTGACACATACGGTGTTACATATTTGGAGTACTGTTGATCGAAAAATTGATAGAACTTTTTCTGAGTACGTCACGGAATAGATATCAATGTTGTTTTCTATTCCCAACTTTCATCTCTTCTGAAAGTTTGTGATATTTCTATTGATTTGCAAGACCAAATTCAATTTGATGCATACCTGATACTATTCAAAATTATCTAATTATTGTATTGTTAAAAAACCCTGTATACCACATTTTATCCATTTCCTGCGTCTCTGGCTAAATATATTCAAAGAAAATCTAAAAAAAAAACTTCGAAAATAGTTTAGTGGCGCAGACTAGATGTTAGACAAGGAAAGGATTCATCGGACCTCTCTATATTTCAATGCGGCCACGTTGGTAGCATTGAAGAGAGAGATGGAAGAGGAGAGAACTTTCTTCTCTCTCGTTGAAGGTAGAAAAGACCTCAACTGGGGTAATATCCTCTTTTGTGCTACCAACACGTCGGTCACTGCTACTGAATTACCCCACAAACAAACTGCATATCTCAATCGAGAGTGTACTTGAGCAAAGTAAAAGTTCAAAAGTTGTTGTTTATTCAATAATAATCTTATATTTCTCAATAGAAATGTAAGAGAAGATAATTTTGAGTCAAGATTCAAGCATTGAGATCTCCATTTGCATTATCACCGACCAGATTATAGGTCCTGTACTTTTTTGCTATGTATGAAATCTCACCAAGTTAGTTTTAGTTGAATTGAGGTAAAGATTATTGAAGCAAAACCAGGTACTGAGAGAATCTAGTACTACACTACTCTTGGCAGCAATATTATCATCACTTTTGTCTGATATTATTAAAGATACATCATCAGCATATAATATAAAATTGGTATTGGGTGATATGGGCACTTATTTCATTTATACATATATATGATAAACAACATAGGGCCCAATATAGATCCTTGTGGCACCCCCATGTTAACGCCCGCAATAATTAATGCAAAAAAAATGCTTAGGCTTAGACAAAAATGATGTAATCCAATAAAGTGGGGTTCCTCCTACAAAAATACCAAATAATTTATTCAACAACTTTCCGTGATTTACACAGTCGAATGCCCTACTGAGATAACAGAAGATGCCAACAGGGTCTCAGAAATCTATGGTATCATTTTGTACAGACCTTTCAGGGACACCCTGTATAACCACGACAAGACTAATGGGGAAGACCACTGAGGGATGAAACTCGTCCAAACCTCTTTCAATGGATGCATCTATTGCAAATTGAAATCAGCATTAGTCCATTCTAGGCGTGACGTATTAGTCCCGAACTGCAACTATCTCTCTCTGATACCTCTCCATTCTGCTGTGTTGCAATGTGATTGGTCAGTTCAAGGACAATAAGCGTGTTGGGACTATTACGTCACACCAGTGGCACCAATGAATTGACACTATTCCACAGGAAGTGTGTGTTTTGAAATGAACATAATCTAATTTATTTTTTCATCGTCCTAGTATAAATGAAAAAAATCAAAATCATATTTATTGGTATACAGGGTGTCCCATTGGGAAACTTCAACGGTAGGTAGAGCTCATCGAGGTGGTTCTGAATATACCATATTTGTAGGGTCTCACAAGTTTTATATCCGAGATATAGGGTGTTTTATCAATTTTCCCCAATTCTTTGTGAGGACATAACTTACGAACCAATTAGTATATTCTTTTGCAATTTGGTACACAATTCCTTCTTTTTCTACCAAAGCGACTCACCTATCAGTCACGAAAAAAATCCAGGCCCGGATTAACAAAAGTTGATAATATTCCTGGACCCCAAAAAGAACACCCTGTATTTTCGAATTCTCAAAATCCGCGTACACATTTGGAAAGTGCACAAAAAGCTGAACCAAATGATGTACGTTTCATTTTTCCACATGCAATTTCACAAAGGACTTTCTGATTTTGAATTCGAGGTTTTATGCAATTGGATAGGTAAAAATAATTTTTGAGTTTTCCCAATCGAATAACAACAATTATGACGAACCACCCAGTATATTCTTTTGGACTTTGGTACACGAGTTCTCCTTATTCTACCCAAGCGCCTCACATATCATCCACGAGAAAAATCCAGGTCCGGATTAACGAAAATTGATTATATTTCTGGGCTTCAAAAAGAACACCCTGTATTGTCGAATTTCCATAATATGCATACATATTTGAAAATTGCACAAAAAGCTGAATCGGATCGTCTACTTTTTGTTTTCATACGAATGCTATTTCACTACTGAATTTTTGATTTTGAATTTGAGGTTTTATGCATTTGGATAGGTAGAAATCGAAGTAAGATGGAAAGTTTTGAGTTTTCAGAATAAGAAATTAATTGTGAACTTTCCAAATATGGAATCGGATTTTGGAAATTCGAAAATACAGGGTGATACTTTTGGGGTCCAGATATATGATCGATTTTCGTTGATCCGGTCCTGGATTTTTCTCGTGACTGACAGGTGAGTCGCTTTGGTAGAAGAAGGCGAAATTGTGTACCAAATTCCAAATAAATATATTGGGTGGTTTGTAAGTTATGTCCTCACAAAGAACTGAACAAAATTGATAAAACACCCTATATCTCTGATATAAAATTTGCGAGACCCTACAAATATGGTATATTCAGAACCACCTTGATGAGCTCTACCCACTGTTGAAGTTTTTCCGTTTCCCAATGGGACACCCTGTATAATTCACAATGATGTTGTTTTACAAAATCAGTGGTCTCCCCATTGAACCTGATATATTTATTTAATGTTCCATATTACCTTACTAATAAAGCATCTGTGTTACAAAGAATTTGAAATTATTGTTATTTTTTTTTCCTTCCTTAAATTAATTAGGATATTGACTGGGATATTATTCAACATATTAAACTGCTCAACACATGAAACGTAACCCCAGAAAGAAATAGAAAAAATTTTCTTTCAAGCGGGAGGACTTTGAAATTTTTGGAAAATGCACAGCTTTGATTATCATCCTGTAGAATCTAATCCGGAGAAGATGAAATAGTCATATCCATAGGTTCGATAGTCGATGAAACGAGCTTTCAGAAACTGAAAAATAATTGAGAATCGGTTGATGCGATTTTACGTTTTATGTGTTGAGCAGTTTATTTACGTTTGAGTTTTTTTGGAGGTGAATGAAATCCACTTCAACACTAAGAAATATATTTAATGAGTTTGTGCACAAATCATACATACCATAATCTCAAAATATGTTGAAAATGACCACACAGGACTGGTGGCGATTTCAAATAGTACAACAAATAACATCAAATAGTATTAATATGACACATAATATATTATATTAAAAATTAATAATATTCATTTGATATTTATTAGGTATGTAAGCTACCTTATCAACAATTAATGCCGTTTAAAACTTGGTGCTAAATATGATTGAAACTATAAAAGGCACTTTTTAGACACTATCTTTTCTATGCCTAAGTACAATAAAAACAGCAAATGAGATTTCATTACCAATAAACGTCCAACAAATTGCACTTTGCTATCAAAGTTTTCTTTTTGTATTGCACACGTCCAAATGTTTTCAGAGTATTCGTCCTCTGGCTACACTCAAATTATTGCTAGCTTGGACGGAAATTATCGAGATTTTTGAAAAAAATCTAAAAATATATCGTCAGATCTCAATCAATTATCTAATAATCAATACCTACCATCAATAATTGCAATGAAAATTGAATACCAATTTTACCTACCCAGTTATTTTCATATCATATGCTCGTAATTTTGTTAATAATTATAAAGCAATGAAGACTGAAGGGTTGATTTTTTTATCATTATGAATTCCCAACCAATGTTTATTACGGTATCTGTTATTTTGAATCGTACACTATCATTATTGTGTGCATTGGACTATCTATATTTTTTTTTTCAAATACACTACCCTACAAAAAAACGGCTAACAAAAATGTCTGTTGATGAATCAACTTGAGCTGAAAATAACCACCATTAAAATCAAATAAACGGTTCGGGAGAAAACCAACTTTGGAATTGGGGTCAATTTTTAGAAGCCGTTTTTATAACAGGGTAGTGTTATGTTATACAAAAATCCAAAACAGATACACTTTTCATAAACCCATGATAGTTTTGTGATTCATGCATTTCTTCATAAACCGATTCGTAAATTCGAAAAAAAAAGCCGAAAACACGAAAATATAATATCGCATAATATAAAGTGGAACATACTGTACAGGGTGGAAAATTTTGATGCTGGTAGGTAGCAGCTATAAGAGATACAAAACATTCAAGTGACATCTCGTTCCGGTTTTATGACACAAATACATAATTTGCTAGGAAATTAAAGACCATATCAATTTTTTTTCGCCAGTGAATTTTTATCATTATTATTATAATCGTGTTTTTTGCTCTATTCATTGATTCAAGCATGCCTTCTGATTGTGCTGTTTTACAATACACAGAAAATGCAGCGAGAGACGAAGGAATATGATTCTTCAGGTAAATAGTAATCTCACATAGTTTTCCTTATGAAATTTTGTCATTTCTTATCAAAATTCCTTCTGCCACTTCTGCAATAGAAGATATAATACTGCTAATATATTGAAAATGTCTAGTTTCTGAGATATAAGCCGACAAAGTTCGTGAAAACGTCGTATCGGGGTAGGATTGACAAAGAAAAAAACTGTTTTTTAGTATAAATAAGACAAAATAATCTAGAAAATGTA